GTATAAACACGCTAAAAGAGATTCGTATAATACGGTAAAACGTCATCGCCGACTCGTGTCGCGACAGGATTGGTCGAATCTAGACCAATAGCGGATATTGCACAAACCGTTGAGTTTAAACGAGCACTGGACCTACTAAAAAGCATTATTTAACAGCCATAAAAATTATATTTATATTCATGATGTCTCCAAAGTTCAGCGAATTTTTCGCAGAAAAATAACTTATCAGGAAACACGCGCCCGCCGTTCTATACGCCGCTCCGCGACGAAAACAAGCTTAAGCAATGGCGTCGTCGAACGGTGCAAACTCGGTAAGTAATCCTACAATTTTTTGTTTATAGCATAGTTTATACGGATTATTCCCCCCAAAATATACGTATTTTGGAAATGTTGAGTCAAATTAGTCTAGAATCGATTAATTTTATGGAAGAAAACCTTTCAAACAGCCGTAGTCCGTAAACTGCACACGTTCGGGCTGTGATTGGCTCGTGTATTTAAGTAACTCGTAAAACTCAAAATTCATATAAAACGGAACGTATCTACCGTGTTATAGGGGGGTCTACTGTAATTAGGGGTAAGGAGGTTAATGCCAAATTTTGTAGGAGCCAATGTTTCATGATCTGTGAGCCATTTTTTGCGTTTCCGGAAGTAAATTTTCGCAGACTCGGGCCACAAGCTTTCTCAGTTTTGTTTCCTGGATTGTGAGAGTAAAGTGTTTCAAGTGATAAAGAGAAGAATCTAAGCTAAAGCATAAAATAGCCAGGTCCGATTTTGGTCTGCGTGATACAGATATTTGGCTGCCCCAACAATGCTGATTACGAGTAAATTCATAGCCTAATCCAACCCGTGATTGGATCTTCTCATTTTTTAAATTTCTTGTAAAAACTATACTTGCTTTTTTTCTTTTTTACATAGCTAAGCGGAAAGATGTATAAGTGACATACATTCAGACAAAAATGTATTCCGATGAAACAATAAACACCTGAGAAATGAAAAAAAAATAACCTAAGGTACGTACACTTTCCCCTACTCCTCCCCATTTAAAGTACATTCATAAAGGGATTCATTAACCCTCTCCTTCTTCCCCAAGAAAGGAGGGGAATTTCGAAAAAACTCTTCTTAGTGCACATTCTCGTGACGTATCCTGTGTACCGAATTTCAACTTTGAACTCCTAACCGTTTGGGCTCTGCGCTTATTATTACTAGCTGCAAGGACCCGCTTCGCTAGGTTTTTATTTATGGGCAAAAAGTAACGATAGTGAAGATTAAGGCTGCGTATACACTAGGCGTTTTTAAACGCGCGTTAGCTCGGCGTTCGACGAGCGTTAGTTCGGCGTTAGCACTGGCTCAGTTTGGAAATGGACGTGAAAGTAATTGATTGTGTGTGCCTCCTCCATCATCGCTATAAAAGACGATGGCAGAGGCAAAGAGAATTTTGGGTGCACCCAATATTACGAGATAGACTGACACATGGAATGTTTGCAAAACTAAGACAAAATGAACCCAAGTTTTTTAATTCTTTTAAAATATTTATAAAATCCATTGACAATGGTTGGTCTCTTTTAGATTTCATCAATAAATAGATCAGTATCGAAATGATCGTTCTCCATTTCGGTCAACGTA